CATCACCATCACCATCACATTCATTCATCTCACAAAAATCTCTTCATTAATCACTTTCTAATTTCCTTTTTGAATCATCATACAAAAATGGCATGTCTGATCAATTACAACAAAGATCAGTACGAGAACATCATCAGAGAAAAACCAGATGAGTTTTCTCAGGAGCTTTTGATTTCATTAATGGAGGAAGCTCACTATGAAGTTGACTGCATCAATGATGAGAGATTAACGAGTTTAATCAAATCATTAGAAGCTGAGATAATCACACGTCCTCATCATCATCACACAACCAAGGAAGATAATCATGATGATCGCAGCCTAGAGAGGTTCCAGTCCCAGGTTTCTGCACAAGTTGATGATGATGATCATATGGATTTCTGCATGGATATTGATCATGATGACATGATCATGACAAGTTGGTGGTATAATGAAGATGGGGAAGTGAAATATGATCTGGGCGTAAATTATAATTTGGAGGGAGTTTCTAATTTGGAAGATATTACGGATGGTTACTTGTGGCAGCTCCAAGAACCATATTATGATGTATCTGTTTATGTATCTTAATTAACATCTAAATTAATATAACATAAAACTAATGTTATATGTAATTTAAAAACAATTTCGGAAATATGCATATCAACTTTTGGTTCCGTTTCTGATTAGCATAAATCAAATCCCTGGTTAAATTCGTCTTCAAATTTTGATCGGTAAGTAACAGATTTTTATTTGTCGCTTAAATATGTTTTTGCTTGTAGTGGAATAATAATTAACTTAATTTGTAATTGTGTATGTATCTAAATTATATATATATGGCAAATTTCCAAAAAAAAAAAAAAAAAATGTTGTGCACTCTCAAAGCATTTAAGTTTTTTAACTAGAAGATACCCTTTGATAATTTTTTTTTTTTTTAATTTAATTGTAAAAATTTGTGAAAGCTAAGGGAATTCTACTTTAAGCTTTAACAACTTTTCCCATTAATTAAAATATTTATAAAACTCTAGTGATGTTGCTTAGAAATATCAATCAGAGAATTTCTTAATATATGCATACATATATATATATGTATAATAATGATAATTATAATTTATGTAGTAGTATTAATTTTTGTTTGATTGAATAGTTGAATAATTGATATATTTTATTCTTTATAAGAGGTGAATCAAATTGTTTTCTTATTTATAAATTATTTTTGTTGGGTTATGACTAATTTATATGTATCATTTAATTAATAAATGTATAAATTTATTTAAAAATATTATAATTTTTGTGATAATCAATTGTTATTTTTTAATTATTAATTGTGTTTGTATTTATTTTTATTTAAATATTATTTTTAATGCATTATAATCTATGTATGACTTAATTAATAATTAAAAAATTATAATTTTATAATAAATTTGACCAGTCAAATGCTTTCCTTGCAATATTTAGAATGATAACTTAATTTAGAAATGTATCACCAACTAATAATGGTAATCAAATCCTTTGATTAATGGATGAATATAAACTTTAGTTATTCCATAATTGATGTATTAAGCACATTAGTAAACAAGATTATATCCCGTCTTAAAAAACAAGATTACGCATAATGGCGATATGCTTGTATATATATATGTATGTATGTATGTATGTATGTATCAGATTCACGATGACATAAATAGATAATTTGGTATTCCCTCAGAAAGCATTAGGGTAATAATTAAGCACATTCAACAACTGTCAGCCTCAAAAATCATATCAACAATGTATATTTTATAACCATGATATTATTAGTGGGATAGGATGACAACTATATATAATCATTTCAATATGCGTTTTCACTGTATATGTCTATGCTATCTATACATCAATTCTTATAATATAATAAATAACTTTTAATTAAAAATAATGTAAAAATTTAATTCCATTTAAATTCATTATCTTTTTTTTCATAAAAAAACATACATCAATCTAATAAATATATATATATATATATATATATAATAATGTAATAAATAATATCGAATTAAAAATATTAACTTAAATTCACAATTTTTTTTTTTTTTTTTTTCAAAAAAAAGCTGAACGGACAACTTTTATGCTTAACTAATTTGTTACATTTTTAATTCTATGCCTTTAAACCTTGACCACCAAAAATACTTTTGTTGACAAAAGCACTTAAGAATCAAGACATGTACGTGGTTAACTTAGTCAAATTGATGCAAGTATTTTTTTTTTTTTTAAAAAAAAAAAATTTGTTGCTTTCAAATTCAAATTGGAGAAATTTAAAAGTGATCGTAAATAAAAAAAATTATGTATTTTTATTCACCTTAATTATTTATGTTTAGAGATAATATCTCATATCTAAATTGGGTTATGTTCAAATTTTGCATTTTAAAATTTGTTCGAACGTATGTATATATTTTTATTTTTTATTATTGTAAATATATTTATATTTACATTAATAAATATAATATTATAATTATATTTACATTAATAAATGCAATTAGTATATGTTAGAATATAATGATAGATATATTTTTTAGTTTTTTTTTTTTTAAATAAATATAATCATATTTGTAATTATAAAATTATGAATAATAAAATAATTGAAGATTTGGCAGGATCACATGGGTATGGCCTGATTTCAACCTCCATAGATTAAATGACTGAAAGAAAAGATAAAAGAGGATTTTGGAAATCCCAAAAACCCCACTAAACATTTTGGTGATGGCAACATGTGCACCAGAATGTGGGCATCGACCTTCCAATCAATCATCTTTTAAATTTTACTGGTTGGTTTGGGAGCCAGCCAACATGTGACACACTGTCCTTTATAGAAATATATTCATCACTTGTTGTGGATGTCAAAACACTTCTCCAATTGATTCCATCCCCCCCCCCCCGAATAAATTACACTGTAATGACTAATATCTTCATGTTTTATTTAAGAATGATGAATTTAAATATTATAATAAATAAACTGTTTAATTCATTAGTATATTAGTAAAATTATAATAACATGATAAGTTATCAATTATTTTACATGGATTAACGATATCTGATGTATAATATTTAATTTAATTAAATCGATTACATAATTTATCTATCGTTAAAATTATAGAAATAATTAAATTAAATTTTATTTAATCTCGTGGTGATTATTATTAAGATAGAAATCATGATTGATTAAAAATTTATTCTGCCTTTTTTTTTTTTTTTAATTTTTTTTTTTAAATTCATTCATTACTTAATGCATCACATCATCTTTTTTAAAAAATTAAATCACTTGATCTGTAATCTTGGATTTGAAGTTTTCAAAAACCCTAGTGCCTTGAACTTTAATTAGTGTCAAATGCATTAAAAAATACTGACTCATATCCCGGCAACTAGAAGTCTATCACTCGTGAGGGTCCATTGGTTT